ATATGAATCAAATATGCACTTTTATTCATTTACAATAAACTCATAAAGTACATCATTCTGATTGAAGCTAAGGGCATACAAAACTGTCTAACATATTTGTCTTTTCTTTTATTTCTAATGGAGATGCTAATTGCTCAAGGATTTTTTTGTTGTCTACTTGGTAGAATTTTTGAACAAAAAGTTGAGTTATATCTCTCATGATTTGGTTACTTTCTAGAGAGATAGCCTATACTAGAAAAAGTCCTAAAGCCACACAGGACTTCATTCAACATATATACTAGACTCTTCTAGACCCCTCTTGGATAAAATATGGGCCAGCTGATTACCTATCCTGTTTACATGATTAAAATAAACATTTAAACTACAAGCTAGTTCTAAAATATCTCTGCAGAAAAATAAAGCATCCATTGCCACTTCAGCTCTTTAACTAGATAAAGCTTGAATGAGGGAACTGCAATCTAATTCCACTATTACCTTAGAAAGGTTCAGGTCTTTTATCAGAAGCAAACCTTTATGCAAAGCAGGATCCTTTGCTTGAATTGGAGATGATCCTTTTGAAGTGCCAAAAGAGGCTGCTACAAAATTACCCAAACTATTTCTAACAACACCACCAAAACCCTAAGTACCTAGGCTTTTGAAACTACTATCCATGTTCAGCTTGAACTTCGCGGAGGACACTCCCAAAAAACTAAATTTCCCCTCTGATTAGGAGTTCGCAAAGAACCTTGCCATCTTTTTGGGGAAATCTTCATCCTCCCCATCACAATCTGCTTAACACAATCATAGTAGCTCTAGGATTTGGGTTAGAACCCTCAAAAACCTTCCTATTTCTATATTTCCAAATATTCCAGATTACTAGAAAGGAGAAAGCCAACAAAATATCCTTTGCATCACTCTCTTTATTATAGATTTCTAGCCATACAATCAGCCACTTAGAGAAAGAGGTAGAGTCATTTCGAACTGGTTCATTAGACAACCTAGGGGGCTTCCAAACCAAACTGATTTGGCAAAGCTCCAGAAAAGAAGGTAATGAGTAACCGATTCAGGGGAATTGTTGCAAATTGGACACAATTCAGTCTCTGTTAACCCCTTTTTAAAACAGTTTCTCTCACCACAATGGCATTTCTGCAACATTTCCAAACAAAGTTTTTAATTTTTTGATCAATTTTTGCTTCCCACAATTCCTTCGATTAGGATTTATCTAAATTAATCCTTTGATTCTCATTTGTTGAAGATAAATCACCTTCTAGGTGGAGCCTTTAGCAATGAAGTAGGCTATTTTAACAGTGAAGACTCCATTTTGGTTTAGATTCCATCTCAGTTTATCCTCCCAGTTCCCAACAGTTAGATTGATGCTAAGAATATTCTTTGCAGTGACCTCATCAAAGTTTTCTCTTAGAACTTTATAAGCCTCTCATTCCCTCTCCTTTCCCCTTGCATGATTAAGTCTTTTACCCACACCAAATTTTGTGTGTTTGGTCCTAGGCCCATTATTTTAAAACTCGAGTTCTGTTGAATCCATGGGTCTTCCCATATTTTAACTTTGGAGCTTGAGATAACTACCCAATAAGTTCCTTGGCACAACACTTATTTGGCAACTAATAGGTTTTGCCAACCTCATGAACCTTTTTTTTTTCAAATTTGATGAGAGAAAACTTTCCCCTCTAAGGTACTTTGCTTTCATGATATTTACCCACAAATTGTTTTCCTCAGTGATTAGTCTCCAAACTTGCTTAGCAAGGAGAGTACGGTTAAAACAGTGTGGGTCTCTAAAGCCTAGACCGCCATCCCACTTGTTCCTACTTAGGATTTCCCACCTGACCCAATGAGTTTTCCTTTGGTTACTGGAGTTTCCCCACCATAAACTCCTTTGTAACTTTTTTAAATCATTACACACACTTATAGGCAAAAGGAAACAGGACATAGTATAAGTAGGGATTGCAGTCACTATTGATTTCAATAAAGTTTCTTTCCTTGCTGGAGAAAGTAAAAGACTCTGCCATTTAGCTAAATTTCTTTCCAGTCTTTTCTAATAAATGATTGAATAGAGCTCTTTTGGATCTCCCAATTTCTGTAGGAATGCCTAAATAAATTGAGGGTTGGTCAACCTTTTTCATTTTAAGATCTTTTGCCATTTCTTTTTGCAACTTAGGATGCATCTTGCTAAATAAAATCTTAGATTTTCCATAAATTACCTATTCACTGGATACCCTTTCATACAATTTGATAGCTTCCAGTAAGGTTTTGCCCTCCAAGAGGTCAACTTTGGGGAAGATATAGCTATCATCTACAAAAAATAGATGAGATACTCTTGGTCAGTTCCTTGTAATTTTAATTCCTGAGATCTTTTTTCGAGTTACTAAGTGGGTCAGTAGAGTATATAAAGCTTCTGAACAGAAGAGGAAGAGGTAGGGAGATAGGGAGTCTCCTTGTCTCAAACCTCTTTCAAGTTTAAATTTGTTACCTAGAGAACCATTTATCAGGATTTGGTAACTCACAATAGTAAAACATTCCGTAACCCAATCCACCCACACTTTCATCTGAAACCCATCTTTAACAACACATTCTCTAGAAAAACCCACTGTACTCTATAATAAGCCTAGCTCATATCCAATTTTAGAGCCATCAACGGGGTTTTTCCTTTTTCTTTTTGTAGTGGATGATCTCATGGGCAACAAGGATATTATCCTGAATGAATCTGTCCGGGGTGAAGGCACTTTGGTTTTCACTGACTAGCTTTCCCAAAAGAGGCTTGACCCTATTAACAAGGATTTTGGAGATTATTTTATATATTGTATTTATAGTTTTAAAAGGCATCTAAGAAAAGGTGAGAGGTGTACGCCTCAAGACGAGGCACCCAGATTTTGCCTAGCCTCAATAGCCTCAGCTGCATGACAAGGGGCATAAGCCTCAGTTTGGGTGAGGCGTAGCCTTTCGCCTCAGTTTAAGTGAGGCGAGGGCCTCAAATTAAGTTACTTTGGGCTGGGGGAAAACAGAATTTATTATGGGTAAAATTGTAAAAATGAAAAAAAAACTCAAAACTCCAAAACATTAGGGCTCCCATCGATCAAAACTGTATTTTCAGGCCAAAGAGGGATTGAACTCAAGGGGAATAGGGGATTTTCTCACCAAACTCTACTCTACTCTGTTGTTGGCTTGTGGCTTCTTCATCCAAAGGAGGGACTGATGAAACCGTATAGGTTAGTCATCCTTCCCCTTTCTTCTTCTTACATTCAGTACACCTTGTAACTCACAGTCCTGAAAAACTCTACAATGGAGAAGCCAACACCAATTAATCTACAGAAATTATAAGCCTTTTTCTACTTCTATGGAAATCTCGGCCAGAAATCTATAGGCAGTTGATGGTGTTCGGCCTCTTGTGATTCTCTGGCACTACTGATGTCATAGACTCGTCCTGTTGAGTCTCTAGTGCTTTATCTCTTGTGATGGACTGCTATACCGAGTGAAGCACAACAGTAGCTAGCTTTCCCTAGCTCTGCCAAGAAAAACCGAGCCTCTCTCTTTCAACTTTCGCATTCTTTACTTTCTCCATTTCAAATTATAACCATATACCCTATGGATTTCATGTTTTGGTACCAAAAATGGACCTCATTCTCTTGTATCCAACAAGAACAAATTTGATTGCTCTATTACTGATTTACTGTTGGAACTTCATTGAATCATTTTTTTCTTTTCTTCTACTTTTAGAGTTGGTAGATTAATTGGTGTTGTAATTCATGGTTTATTTAATCCTTGTCAGTGTTCTAAATTATTTCCCTAGGATGAATGCCAATTAGATTTGGGTAGGATACTCCTCTTGATGTAAACTGAATTATATGAAAGATTTTTTTAATGCATCCAACATCAATAAAAGGTAAAATTAGAGTTGCAAACAGATCCAATCAGTTATATTAAAAGTTTCAAATTAGAATTTAGGTCTTTTCAATAGAGTTTATGGCGGATATAATTCAGATGTAATTAAACTAAAAATGAACAAAATATTGTATATTTTAATAAAATGAACTAGAGATGACTCTAAACTGATTTACATGTTGATCCATGGAAAAAAAACTTTGACTCTAATCAGATTTGAATTGAATTCAGATTTCTTTTAATTCATTACTTGCTAGTTGATGAGATGCTACTTGTTTTTTCTTTGTCTTGGAGGCATTTACATATTGAATAATTCACTTGTCTTATTTCTTTTTATTTGTTATAAGTTATAACTTAATTTGATTACTATTAGTTTCTAAATTTTTACATAAAACCCTCCAATTGTACTTGTTAAAATTTCAATTATTTATTTCTTTCTATGTTTCCATAATTCTTAAGTTTTAATTTGAGGCTTACACCTTAAACTGCCTTGAGGCTTATGCCTCACCTCTTTAGCATCCAACTGCATCGCCTCCGCCTTTAGCCTTTTAAAACCTTGATTGTATTACATAGGCTAATGGGTCCGAATTGACTTGTTATCTCCAGGTGTCTTGTCTTTGGGATTAAAGCTATAAAGGTTTCATTGTACTCCCCCAAAAGTTGCACTGTATTGAAGAACTGTTTAACTGCCCTAACCACATCCTTCCCCACCATAGTTCTAGAAGATAAAATTTGGATAGCCATTTAGACCTGGGGCTTTCCTTGGGGCCATTTGGAAAAGGGCTACTTTGGTATCATCCTTGCTGACTTCTGCTTCTAGAGCCTTTTTGTCATGGTCATCCAGCTTGGGGTTGAGAAAATTAATCAACTCATCCAATCCACCAGGATTTGATGACTTGAATATTTCCTTGAAATGATTTTCTAACTCTTTTGTAATCTCATTCTCAGTCCCTATCCAATCTCCCTCTTTATTTTTCAAAGCATCTATTCTATTTCTTTTTCCTCTGCCCTTTGCTATGGAATGGAAATATTTTGTGTTTTTATCACCATATTGGAGTCATCTTACTCTAGATTTTTGGTGCCATAACATCTCTTCCCTTTTCAGCCAGACTTCAAGTTCCTTTTCTAAATTCTTGACATCAGTTGGGTTGAAATCCGGGCCCATCTTGTAGGAATCAACAACTACTCTTTCTTTTAATTCCCCTATCTTTTTTTGTACATTTCCAAAAACATTTTTGTTCCACTGCACCAAACTATCCCTTAGAGCTCTAATTTTTTTGCCTGAGGATATTCTAATTGGAGCCCCTTACCTCTGCTTGAGTCCAAGACTGATTCAGGATTCTATCAAAATCCCCATGGTCAGTCCACATTTCTTCAAAACGGAACAACCTTCTAGGTTTCTTGATTTGTCTTTTTGTGGTTAATAGAATTGGGTTATGGCTAGAACCCAGAGTACACAAAACTTTAGCTATCCCATTAGGGAAGAGGTCTAACCAAGGTTTATTGCAAACAACTTTGTCTAGTTTAGCTCTAATACAATTTGTTCCCTCCCTTTTATTTGTCCATGTAAACAGGGGACCTAACTATTCCATCTCTTGAAGATCACAACTTTCTAGAAATTCTCTATTTTTCCTAATATAGTTTTTAGCAACCATCTTCCCCCCTTCTTTTTCATAGACATGGAAAATCATATTGAAATCCCCAAAATAGACCCAAGGCCCTTTACTAACCTCCCTAGAAAACCCCATTTTTGTAAGAAGTCTTTCCTTTTTTTCTTTTTTTGGTTCTCCATAAACAAATGAGCAATACCATGATTCCCCATTTTGTTCAGTTATTCTAACATGAATCAAATTTACATTAGCATACAGAACTTCAAGATTTAATTCCGGCACCCAAAATAAGGCTAAATCCCCACTGAGGCCTCTGGAATCTACCCCCCAACAACTCCACTCATTTAGGAATTTCAAGGAATTCTTACAAGAGACAAGGGTAGATTTAGTTTCCATAAAAAAAAAAAAAAGATTTCAGCTCTTTCTTTTCTCTGGATCTCTTTAAGGGATTAAACTATCAATAGTGATCTTATTCCTTGACAATTCCATCCTATTAGCCTCATTGGCACCCTAGGGCCTATTGCGATTTGATAGGACCCCTAACTCACTTATTTGAGTTCATTTTAGTAAACTCCCCATGTTCATGATGCAGGAGCTCCTTGTGAACCAAATCAGCTAGTAATTCTGTTAGGACTAGCCCAGAAATAGGCCCAATTGTAGGGAAATAGGCCCATGACACTCCTCTGAGGTTTGTTTACACGCGTCGTCCACGTCATGAAGAATGATTAGAGATCGTTAGTTTGTTACAAGTCACTCACTACAAATATCTATAATAACTGTTGAGCTAGCATGAAAGGAAATATTCTCCGAGTCTTCTTCCGCCTCCCTTCTTCTTCTCTTCCTCTCTGTTCTTCCTACTCTCTTCATCCATTTCAGGAGGGTGAGCTCCCTTGAACCAACTCCTCTAATTGTAACTAAATCAGAAGAAGCAAGTTCATTAGTTGGTATCAGAGCCTAGCTTCCATGCTGATGACCAAATTTGTAGCGGTAGAGGAAAGGATTGATCGGATCAAAGGGGAGGTGCGGCAGACCACTAATGAGTTGAGAGACATCAAGGAGACGCTCTCAGCATTGGTCGGTTAGTTCGAACGGCTATCGGTGGCACCCAGAGCTTCGGAGGTCGAGGGATCCAGTAGTAGCAACGGGAGAAAGCGAGGTGGAGTCTTTCCTGTCAAGGCAGCCAAGATTGACTTCCCACTATACTCAAGTGATAACCCTGTTCCTTGGATATACTTGGTTAAGCGGTATTTTGAGTTTCATGAAACCCCAACAGACCAAAGAGTTTCCATTGCAGCCATTCACATGGACGGCAAAGCAATTATGTGGTACCAATGGTACCAGAAGACCCACCCACAAACCACCTAGTTGGACCTCACTAAGGCTCTACATGTGAGGTTTGGGCCCTCTCGCTATGAGAACTTCAATGAGTCCCTCTCAAGAGTGAAACAAACCGGTACTATGAGAGAATACCTAAATGAGTTTGAACGGTTGGCCACGAGAGTTCGTGGCTGGCCGGAGGTTGCTCTGGTGGGATGTTTCATAGGGGGATTGAGGGATGATATAAGGATTGAGGTGAACACCATGCAACCAGATACGTTGGTTGCGGCGGTGGGTTTGGCAAAACTGCAAGAAGAAAGGCTGGATCGACTTAAGAAACTAGGGAAGTTTACGGGATCTTAGGCGGGTCCAATGCAAAAGAACCCCTACCCGAAGGTTGAACCCAACCCAAGACCATTGCTTCCAACTCCTACCACTGTTAAGCCCCTCCCACCCACCAGAAACTGTCATGGACGGAGATGCAGGCCCAAAGAGAGAAGGGTTTGTGCTACAAATGTGACAAGAAATTCGTCCTAGGTCACAAATGCAAGGCCCAACATGTTTACCTTCTGCAAGTTAACGAGGAAGATGACCCTGACCTTTTAGAAGACCCTAGGATTCAGTAGATGGAGGTGATTCCAGAAGTGGAATACTATGTTATTTCCCTCCAGGCTCTGTCTGGATATTAGGCTCCCTAGACCATGTGGGTTCACGGCCAGATCTTAGGGAGGAGAGTGGCCATCTTGATTGATAGTGGGAGTTCTTTGAATTTCATAACCATTGGATTAGCCTGGCAGTTGGGACTAATGATTGAGGTAGTCCCAACTTTTGCAGTCAATGTAGCCACTAGCGAATCACCTGTGACGGAAAATGTAAGTCAATTGAGCTCAAGGTTCAGGGGCATGCCTTTAGGGTAGACTTGCACCCCTTAGAATTTTCTGGAGCAGATGTGGTTCTGGGAATACAATCGTTACAGCTTTTGGGCCTTGTGATTTATAATTGGGCCGAGCTGACCATGCAATTTACTCAGGAGGGTCGTTCCTACACCTTGAAGGGGGTTAAAAACTAGCCCATAACGGTTGAAGACTTGGATGTTATACTTAAACAATGTCAATATGGGGCTACTCCCTTGCTAATGAGTATGGGATCCATGCCACTAGGGCCCATGATTGTCCCTTTTGAAACTAATAACCTTAGTCCATAACAAAACCAGCAACTGCAACTGTTGCTCCAAGCCTATGCTGACACCTTTCAGGAGCCCACTACCCTTCCTGCCCCGAGAGCCCATGATCATAAAATACCCATTCAATTAGGAGCTCCTCCCACCAATGTCAGGCCCTACCGTTACCCCCATTACCAGTGGGAAAAAGTGGAAAGGATGGTAAAGGAGTTGCTGGACA